TTCTACCTACCCCCTTTTAGACAAATTTTTATTTGCTAGTGATGGAAAGAAGATTTAAATAAGATCTACCATCTTAAGTGTTGCTAAGTGTGTAATGCAATGTTATATTGCATCTGGTCTATAATTTACAGCCAATCTCCAGACTTGTGCCTCCTGCATAAGTCCAACTTTGTCCCTCTCGTTAGCAACTCTCACCTGCCCCCAGCTGCCAGCCATTGGCAGCTGGCATTCTGCTCATTGTTTCTTCACATAAGTACTATCATGAAGTGTCTTTCTTGTTGTTGTTGTTTCTGTCTTTTGTCAATTAGCATAATGTTCTCCAATTCAGGGCTATAGTTGAAATGGAAAAAATATTCTTTATAATACTTCATAATATTCCTTAATATTATAGGCAGGCAGCATGTTTAAGGTATGGAACATTATGGCTTCTCTTATGAAAGCCACTCAACACACTGTTGCAAGGCCCATTACAGATCAGTTAGGATATTATGAGATAACTCAGAAACAAAAGACAAACACATCATTTATTGACAATTGACTTTATACCAAATAAATTCCTATTTATAAAATTTCAGCTAAGAAGTTCATGTAACGGAGAAAATGTTAAGAGGTAAGTCACATTATTGCTCTCATTTTATAGATAAAAATTGGCCTGTAAGTGTAATAATTTGACCACATCAAATAGGTGCACCGATGCAATTAAATTCCTGGCCTAAGTCCCATGCTTATAGCTCTATGTTACAATGTCTATTTCATGAAAAAGATACCTGTCTTCAAAATCAGAGTGCTACCCTTTCCAACCCTGTCATATCTTCTGGTAACTTTGAAATCATTAACAAAAACTGACTTGACTGAGAGTTAGCTATGGAGGGCAAAAAATCTGCTCATTGCCACATCTCACTCTTCCTCCCATCCCAACATGAGCTCACCAATGCAGGCCATAATTCTTAAGCTGTTCAACTGATATTTTCCACCTATAATTGAAGCCAATAGCATCCATCTACATCAGTCAGAAGTATCCAGTGGAACAGAACCAGCAGGATCTGTCTGTCTGTCTGTCTGTCTGTCTGTCTGTCTTTCTATCTGTTACCAATCATGTATCTATCCTTTCAATGACATTTTAAGGTATAGGCTAATGCAATGATGAAAGTCTCTAAATCCAGGTGAGCTGATCTGCTTGAGAGCAAGGGGGAGCTATTGTTCCAGTCTAAAAGCTGTCAGCTGTCTGGTATGTGCTTCTACCTCACCTGAGAGAGCAAGTCTTTCTGTTTTAGTCATATTCTGAAAGGCTACTTGGTTTGCTACACTAAATGGATTATTAGCTCAAAATCTACTTATTTAAATGTCAGTACTCGAAAACATCCACATATACTCTTCTAGAATGTCTGACAAAATCTTTTGGCTACTCATGGCTTGGCCAGGTTGATATATAAAATTAGCCATCACACCATCTTCACAAACATATAACACTTCAGTAGGCATAAAATACATAGTGCATGATATAAATCCAGATGTTTGGTTGCATTTGCTAATCAAAGACCGCCCTCATCATTATATATGTGCAAAAGCAGATGCAAACTCTCTTGTCTTGTCATTTTATAGTTGAAGAACTGGAAACCAAAGAAATAGAAATACATATATATGCCTGGTGAGTCATCACATGAACTAACTAGAGATGTTAACATATATCTCTATTCAGACATTTCAAAACTCCACTGACAAATAAATCACACATGATAGCTATTACCTATTGATGAACAGTCCAGTGATTTATTTTTAAAAAAAAGCTTGTTTTACATGTCAATCCCAGTTTCCTCTCCCTCTCCTCCTCCCCTGCCCCCACCTACCCCTATCTGCTCCTCAGGGAGGGTGAGGCTTTCATGGTGGGATCTTCAAAGTCTGTCATCATTTGGAGCAGGGCCTAGGCCCTTACCGGTGTGTCTAGGCTGAGAGAGTATCTCTCTATGTTGAATTGGCTCCCAAATTACATTCATATACTAGAGATGCATACTGACCCACTACCAGAGGCCCCATAGATTGCCCAGGCCTCCTCACTGACACTCACGTTCAGGGGGTCTGGATCAGTCCTATGCCGGTTTCCCAGCTATCAGTCTGTGGTCCATGAGCTCCCTCTTGTTCAGGTCAGCTGTTTCTGTGATTTTCTCCACCCTAGTCTTTACCCCTTTGCTCATCACTCCTCCCTCTCTGCAACTGGATTCCAGGAGTTCATCTCAGTGTTTATCTGTGGGTATCTGCTTCTGCTTCCATCAGCTACTGGATGAAGGCTCTAGGATAGCATATAAGGTAGTCATCAATCTCATTATCAGTGAAGGGCATTTAAGGTAGTCTCTCCACTATTGCTTAGATTGTTAGTTGGTGTCATCCTTGTAGATCTCTGGACATTTCCCTAGTGCCTGAATTCTCTTCAAACCTATAATGGCTCCCTCTATTATGGTATCTCTTATCTTGCTCTCCTCTATTCTTCCCCCAACTCAGTCTTCCTGCTCCCTCATGTCCTCATCACTCCTCCTCATCTCCCTTTCTCATTCTCCTAGCTCCCTCCCCCCTCCTCCGGTGCTCCCAATTACAATTAGCTCAGGAGATCGTGTCCCTTTCCCCTTCTCCATGGGACCATGTATGTCTCTCTTAGGGTCCTCCTTGTTTCCTAGCTTCTCTGGTGGTGTGGATTATAGGCTGGGAATCCTTTGCTCTATGTCTAAAATCTATATATGAGTGAGTACATACCATGTTTGTCTTTTTGTGACTGGGTTACTTCACTTAAAATGGTTTCTTCTAGTTCCATCCATTTGCCTTGAATTTCAAGATTCCATTGTTTTTTCCACTGAGTAGTACTCCATTGT